TTTATTAATTAATAGTGGCTTCACTAATTAATTATAATAATTCTTTTGATTTATATTATTCTTTCCTTTTATTATTTCCCCTTTGAAAGATAATATCTATAGATATTGGTACAGGCTTTAGAAACCTTTGTCATTATTGAAAGTTATAGTCTAATTTCCCTCTCTTTGCCTTTAATTATTTCAGTCTCTCCCAACTCTATATTATTAAGGTGAATTCAAGTGAAATCCCACTTACTAATTCATTATAATAATATAATTTGATCTAATTCTTGTATATCTTTTATTTAATCAATAAGATTCTTAAATTTAGCTCTATACTTTTATATAATATTAATTTAATAAAGTTAATAAAATTAATAATAAAAATATTATTAATAATTAAATAATTAAAATATATTATAAATTTTATTAAGAAAGATTTATTAAGTTATAAAGATAGATTAATTTCTAATAATATATATTTTATTTAAATACTAGTGAAGAGTAATATCTTTCAGACTAGTTTTAGTATATAGAATATAAGTTTATTTATTTTTTATTTCTTGTATAATAAGTACTTTAGAAACTTATAAGATTTAGATATTGATATTTTTATATAATTTTTTTTATATATAGAAATCTTAAGAATTATTATTATTAGTTTATTAACTATTATTATTAAACAAGATTAATAAAATTAGTAAAAAGTTATTAAAATTAAATATCAGAAAGATCAGAATTAGATATTATAAATGTATATATATATAAATATAGTATAAAATATATATAAAGAATGATAAGTTTGTATATAAATATATTATATATATATATACATATATAATATTAGTTTTTTTCATTGCTATTAAAATTATAATCTTCTAGTTATATAGTATAAAATATCAGAAAAATTTATATAAAAGATTAAAGATATAATAAAGTAATTAATTTTAAATTTACATAAAAAATAAATCAAAAACAAATAAGAAATTATTATAATTAAAACTTAATCTTTATTATAATTATTATTATTATTACAGAACAGAAATAACATATTTAAATAAATAAATTAATATTACATGAAATTAAATAATTATTAATATATAATACTTAAAAAAATAGTATCTTCAGAAGATACGTATAAAAATATATTGTAAATATAAAAATAAAAATTATAAATAAAAAAAATAGAAAAGAGTAATATATCTAGTTATATTAGTAAAACAAAAGAAAATAGAACTTTTATAAAAAATTATTTTCTAAATAAAAATAATTTAATTAACTGTGATTTTACTTGATAGTATCAGATAATTATGATATAATAAATCACATGTGATATAATAATATAGAACAATATAATCTATAAATTACTAATATTAACTATTATTAATTTTTATTACAAATAAAATAAAAAATTTTTAAAAAGATAACTATAAAAGATATAATTATAGAAAGATCTAACTGTATAAGAAAAAGTATATATTTTACTAATTATAATTATATTAATTATTTTTTATTAATAAATAAAAACTTATTAATTAGAAATTTTATATAAATTATAATAATAATTATAATTATAAATATATTTTTTTTTAATTATAAAATTATTATAAAATTTTTTTTAATAAATTTTATTTTAAAAAATTTTTATAATAACTTTATAATTAGATAATTCTTTCAGAAAAATTTTAAATAAAATATTATTTTTAATAAAATTATAAATTTCAATATAAAGAGAAACTTAAATTTTTATTATATTTTATTAATAAAATTAATCTTCTAATTCTATAATTATAAAAGTTATTATAATTACTTGAGAAAGTTCTATTTAAATTATAAAGAGTTTTACATTCAAAGTTTAATCATACAAAAATTTATTTTTAACTTGTATTTTAAATTAAATTTTATTATTAAATAATAACTAAGATTATGTCAATTTTGAAATATTATATAATAAAGAGACTTTATTTAAATAAAATTATTAATATAATAAAAATTATTAATATAATAAAAATTATTAAAATAATTTAAAATTTCAATCTGAAATACAGATTTAAAAACAATAATTTTAAACTTTTAATAATCTTATATTTAAATTAGTTTTAATATTGAAAAATTAGTTATTAATAATTTGATCAGTTTTTTATATAAAATTGTACAGATTAGATATTTTTTTTACAAAACAATATAATCTATAGCTTAATTAATATCCAATTAGAAATCTGAAAAAAAGTATGTTTAGCTATAAATACAAACTTTATTGCTTTGTAAAAATAAAAAAATATTGATTAGTAAAATGGAGAACTTTGATGACAGAGAAAATTTGGGTCAGTAATTATGGAGGTGATATCGACTTTTGAGTCAGTAATCTTTGTCCAATGTTTTTAAGATCTTTTTCGAAGTTATATTGACAAAAATTTTTATAAGACTTTTAGGAAATAATATTAAATTCGTATCATTTTCGATTTTTTCTCGTAATTAGATACATGTATAAAGTTAATACAAAGTACCGCGTTACGATTTTTGAACTTAAATACAAAAACATTAAGACATTGTTTTAAATAACATAATTGGAATAAGTCAGGAGAATTGATAATATTTATACCGTTAAGTATTGTTTCGTCTCTTTTTTTTTTAAATGCTATGATGATCTATAATGTTTGCAACTGGGCAAGTGTTGTGAATTTCCTCCATCACGAATAAGGTCAAAATCAACAAGACAACTAAAAATAAAAAAGTTAATTCACTGTATCTTGAAAATCTCAGCAAAAATAATAAACAAACTACTCACATCCAACAAAACTCGTGTCCACATGTAGGCGCTCTACACGTCATATGATCACAGCCAGCCGTTTTCTGAATCCGTCTCGAACAACGCGGACATGGTTTAGTTTTTTCACGAATAAATCTTTCGGATTTTGCCTCGTATTTTCGTAATTTTTCTAGCCTCTCAGATTCTTTTCTTCTATTGCGTGCGCCTTCTTGTGTTGTGGCAGTATATGAAGAAAAGGAAATTTTTGAAAATAATTTTGATACGTATTTGAGTGTTGTTATTATTGCGTGATTTGAGGATAGGAAGTTTGAAGCATGTGTGGGACGTTCAAGTGCACATTGTGGACATCCGAAATTGAGGTCTGTGATTGGGAGTGAATGGATCGCACAAGATTTGTGCGAACATGCTATACATGTCATTATTGGTGCTGCATCTATAATTGATTAGAAAGGTTAGAAAGGGAAGGATAGAAAAGAGCATCTGAGAAAAGGCTGAGAAGAATGAAATTTTACATACCTCCTTCGTAATGTATTTGACCTGAACTACAATTTGGATTTAAGCAATAATGGAAATCGGGTATTTGCGACAGCACTGAATTTACAGATAATTTTTGATATCTATCGAAAATTCAAAATAACAATATTTAATAATTGTTAACAAGATGTTACGTGTAGAAGTGATCAAAAATTACCTATTAAAAATATCTTCATTTACAAATCGTCTTACGTCCATTTCACTCAACAAGGCACCACAATTATCACCAAACGGACACCGAATCATAATATTTCCTCGATTTTCAACCTCAACTCTAACATGCATCTCGACACACTCTCGACATATACTATTCTCATGGGAACATTCTTCAGTGATACATGTGAACGAATCAAGTTCTTTTTCATAAATGCAAATAATACATTCTTTTGTTATCGGTGAAATTCGAGTTTGTTCTCGTTCTAGTGGTATTAGTCGTAGATGACGATGAGGATGGTATTTATTACTACCATTATGACGATTTCGTCGTCTTATTGATCGTCGTCGCGTCAATGTTCTCCGAGTTTCTGGAAAACAATATTGTTCTAATTCTTGCTCAGTTGGATACCAACTAACTGGATTGAAATCTTGATTGATTTTTTCTTCTTGCTCTTGTCCTAATTCCTGTTCTTCCTGTTTAATTGGATACCAACCAATTGTATTGAAATATTCTTGACTGAAATTATTTTGGTGTTGTGCTTCTTTCCATAAATCAATTGGATTATCCATGTGGTGATTATAATAATTATTGTTATTATCGAATTCATATGACAAAAAATTTACATTATTGACATAATCTTCTATGAAGGTGCTATAAGTAAGTCCCATTATTGATGATTTTCCTTTAATAATGTTGTTGCTCCCGTTGCTCCCGTCTATTTGTCTATTCTCTAGAGTGTGGTAGTTAGTAGGATAAGATGATTCTAGTTTCTTTGTCGTTTCTAAAAATTTTTCATCAGTATATATAGAATGGTCGGATGATTGCGAAGAGAGAATGTTGTTGTTGATGTTATTGTTTATGTTATCGTCGTTAACATCAGGACAATGCAGACTGTTTTCTAAATCGGAAGAACTGTTTATCTCTTTAAATTCTTTTATGGAACTATTGATTGTTGCTACGTCTTTTATGGAAATATCATCGGAAGAGATACTAGTTTCTTTTTGGTGTCTTGGGTTATAGAAAGAATCAGAAGATACTGACGAATGAGAAGAAGAAACCGAATACAATGAGGGAAATGATCCTGACGATTCGCGAGTTCGACGCGCAATTGTTGATGTAGCTGTTGTGTTAATAGTATAATTATCATTATTATAATTATTTATAGAATTTTCAGGTCGTTGATATTGTTCTAAACTGCACATGATGAAAGTGGGCTGTGATGATTCAACATTTCCCATTCCTATAGTTAATAAATAAATATAAATTTCTGTGTACGATAATTAATGATGATGCGTAAATACACATCTATTTAATACTTTTTATTCTACTTTATTTGTTATTTTGCGATATGTCGTTAAGAAAAATAACATTTAACAATTAAAGAAAAAGAATAAAAGAATCTCCAATAGTTTATTTTTCTAAAAATATAAAGCATTAATCAAAGAAACAAAGAGCGTTTTTATTATAAGATGGTAAATGAGACGAAATGATAAAATTAACCTCATCCGACCACAAAAATAGAAATTGTTCACGTACAAATTTTTTCAATTGTCCAAATGTAGTAATATTGATATCACTTCCACAATTACCCCATACTGTATAATAAACACATAAAAAAAGTTACCTTAATGTACGCACTCCTGATATGTTATATTTTTTTACTATCCTTTTATAAACAGGAATCTCATAAAGAGTTAACATTTAAGCTATATTTAGACTATAGTACACAAAATCAAAAAAATCACGTCATACAACAATGAACACACAAGAAGCAAATGATCTAGCACCATGCAAATCCGACGATCTACAGTGCGAATAGAATTTCTTTATTTTCTTTTAACAGGTCATTAATTGAAAAATTGAAATCGATACAAGGAAATTTATTGAAAAATTACGGCTGCTTTAGAATTTTAATATATTTTGACAACCATTCATGGATCCCAAGCAAAGTAAATGTTCTTAAATGTTCTTTATTGCAAATACTAATATACTTTCATACTTTTGGTAATTCAATGACAAGTAGACACCAACCGATGGTTATTAAGCGATACTTTAGGTTCGATGAACTTCGACGAATTCTCGTGTAGCGTCGCGCAGCTTATCAGCGGGTGCAGTAGCAGCTCCGACTAAAAGTGAATAATATTAAATGAAAATTAGACGAACAATAATTATTAATATTCAAAATGAAATAAATATTCACCGATAGTTTCAGCTGGTGGCTTATCTGGTGCTCCTGGATGGGGACGAGTTGGGACAACCGGTCTAGTATTATGCCAGCTTTTGCCAAGTGCTTGTATTTTTTCTTGAGAGAGATAGTTTTGTAGTTTAGGAATATTGTCTTCTTCCTCCTCTCTAGCGTGGTGGATGAATTCCTATTTTCAATAAAGATCCCTGAGTGAAACTTCGAAATAAAAATGAGGAAATAAGAAAGTTCCACATAATGCAAGTTTTTACCTCCATAGCGGAATCCAATTTTGGAACGTAGCCGGCATCGCTAACTTTCATTTTGTCCAACTCGTACATGACATTCTTGATATCAAGATGCTCTTTACGAGCATGATCTGCGAATTCTCTGCCATTTGGCAAGTACTCTTCGAAAGCGGGGTAAAGAACAATTTCTTCAGTGGCCGAATGAATCGAGACTATTGGATAATAACCATTTGTAAAACTTGTGAGCATAGTAAAGACGAAATAAGCAAATAAATGCTAAATCTACCTTCACGAATAATAGTATTTGCAATTTTTTGTCTTTCATGCTCATCATTCTCATTCTTGAATCGTTCGTAGAGTTGCTTGACAACGGAGTGGTCCTCCTTTACTTGTGCGAAGACGTCTTTACTCATTGTGGTGTGGGTGGCAAGGGTACGATTTTTGTGGTTATTATGAATTAAACTTGTTTTGAATATTTGTTGCTTTATTGTCGGAGTAATAAGATTATAAGGTAATCTAATTCTTGAAAGCATATCGTGAGAGAGTATTTTTTTGTGTGTGCCTTTTTATAGTAGTGTGAGAACGACTCTAGATTTTTCTGGCAGTGTGTAATTATTATGCTACGATGACGCAAAATTAATGAATCAGTTTACCTTTTTTCCGTGATGATGGAATTATGTGGTTTTTAAGGCGGCATTAATCATCGGGCGCTTTTGATTTAGCAAAATAAAAACATAAACATGTGAACTAAGTCTCCCGCTTATTTGAATTTGTGGATATAGAAACAGTATTCGTGAGATTTTTTGTTTTTTCACTACGTATCAAGTTCCGTGTCTGTAAACATTCATTGTTGAATGTAATTTTAGGCTTAAGAAAAATTGCCTTTCCATTATTATTTTTGTCATAAGAGTTGAATATTAATTTTTGCTAAATATAAATTTTATTTAGAACAGATCAATATAACTTGTGTGTATTATGAACTTTTATCAAGTACTATATAGTATTTCAGAAAAGATTTTGTGTTGTACAAATATGTATTGTAAATTTTCTAATTGAATTATCATTTGTAAGAATGATAAGCTAAATTTAATATTAAATGCAATTGATATATAGAAAATTTTTTTCAAGATATAAAATAATTTTGAAGTTAACGTTAATAATACAAAAATTTTCTGAATTAAATATAAATAAATTTATATATAGTCTGGAAAAAAACTTGTTTTATTTTTAATTTTAAATAAAAATTATAAAAAAATTATTTAAATAATAAAAAATTAATATATATAATAATAATTAAAAGTAATATAATGCTTTAAATTTTTATTAATTATTTTATCAAAATACTTATTTCTTAAAATATATATTAATAATTAAACTATTAATTTTAATATTTTAATAGTTATATTAACAAAATTTTATATTAAAAAAAATTAATAATAAAGATATTTAAAATTAAATTAAAATAATATTCTTGAAAAAATTATTAATATATTTTTATTTTTTAAGATTAAAAAATCAAATTTATTAAAAGTTAATTTGTAATAAATTAAAAAAGTATTTAATAAAAAATAATTTAAGAAAATTTATTAAAAAATAAAATTATTATTAAAATATTTCTAATTAACATATATATTTAGCCTCTTGTTATTAAGTTAAAAAATTATTAAATAAATGATTATCTTAATATCTTATAATAATTTTAAAAAAAATAAGTAATAAAATTATTAGAAAGAATTATATAAAAATTCTTTTAATATTATAAAGAAAATATATAAAATATATAAATATAAATAAAATATTCAAGAATAAATATTATTTAATTTAACTAAGATTTTTTTAATAAAAATTAAAAAATGTTTATTAATATATTTATAAAAAAATAATATATTTTATAAAATAAAATTTTTTTAAAAAAAATATTATAATAATAATAATAAAAAAATTATTAATTTAATAAACTTATAAACTTATAAAATTATAAAATTATATCTATACATCTCTATAATATATTACCAGAAATTTCAAAAATGAAATTATCATTTTGAAATTTAATTTTTTGTAATCTAGTAATTTTATTTAAATAAAGATATTATTATAAAATTTGTGAAGTTGCAATAAATTTAATGGAATATTTTCATTTAAATTGGATTATTGAATTTTGAGAAATTGGATTTCAAAGTGACAGATTTGTTTTTAGAATTTTCAGTAATATATTATAAGAATATGTATTATATAATTTATAATTTTTTAATTTTATTATTTTATTTATATTATATTTTAATTTATTTTAGCTAATATTATTTTTATTATTTTTAATTTTTTTTTAATATTAATTTTGTTCTTTTAATATTATATTTATATTTAATTTAAATTTTTTATATTAATATTTTATTTAATTACTTTTTAATTAATATTTATTTATTAAATTTAATAAAAATTGTTATTTAAATATAATTTAAACTTTTTTCTTTAAATTAATTTTATTATTTCTTATTATATTTAGTTAAAAGAGATAAAATTATTATTTTATATTATTATTTTTTAGTTTTCTTTTTATTTTTAATAATTATATAATATAATTTATTTTTTTTATATTATTATTATATTTTTTAAAAATATATAAATAGTAATAATATAATATTCTTTTTAATAATATAAAATTTTAATGATAAAAAATAAATATTAAATATTTAATATAATATAAAGTAATTATTAAAATATTCTTAAATTATTTATATATAACTTTTTTTATATATAATTAATTAATATAAAATAAATATAATAAATATTATTTTAAATTTAATTTTAAGATGTTAAGTATTTAAGTTAAAGTTAAATAAATAATGTAATTTTAATATTTAATTTATTATTTTAGTTTTTAAATCTAGTTTTATTTTGAATTTAATCTAAATTAAAATAGTATATTTTTATTATAAATTAATACAATCTTATATTTAAATATATTAATTTATTATTTGAATTTATAATAATTTAATTGGTTATATTTCTTTTAGTTTAGATTTTTATTTTTTATATTACATTTTAATTTTATATCTTTTTATAAAGATTAATTTTATTTTAAATTTACAGATAATTATCATATATTAAATTAATTAATTTAATATATATTATTATGCAAATAATTATCATGTGCTATTTAATTATTTATTTAAATAATTTCTATTTTTAATTAATTATTTCTTTATAATTTTACTTATTCTTCTTTTATTATTATTATTATATTATTATTAATTATTATTATATTATTAAATTAAGTATAATTAGCTTTTTAGAAATGTGATATAAAATTATTAATTTATTTAATTAAGTAAATCTATATATATTTTAGATTATAAATTTATTATTAATTTTTTCATACTTTATATTTATTTATTTTATATAAAAAAAGAATACTTGTAATAATACAAAGAATTCAATATAATTACCAAATTATTTACTAAATTTTCTTAAAGAATATTCTAACTCAACTAATTAATTATTTTCTTTTATATTAAAAACTTTATAAAATAATTTATAATTTGAAAAAAATTATTTATTTAGAATTTTGGTTTAGTGTGAATCGTTCGTTCCATTCTGTATTGAATTATAAGGGTACAGAAGAAAACGTTTCTAAACTTACGTGTCAACAAGAAATTGAAAAGTTTTATGTCTAACTTCCGGATAAAACGCATAAGTAAGATTAATTATTTGGCGGCTGCAGCTTTAGTATTTTCACCAAACTTAAAACTCGATCCTCTGAAAACCTTAAAATTTTTTGAATACCCACCTTTCGCTCTAACATTTTCTGGCCACCGCCGTCTCGACCAGCGTTTCATTTATCAAAAACGCACCGGCCGAACAAAAAGTATTCATTTCCAGGTTCAGATCCTGAATTTATTTGTGCCTAGATTGTATTCTGTGATCCATCCGGGTTCTGCTATCATGGTATCGTGCTTCTGAATTGTGTTTGGCTGGTTATTTTGCGTTGAGAACGTTGGAGATATCCATGATTATTAGGATATGATTTAATAAAGAAAAGTATTATCTTTATCAAGAAACACCATTTGATTTGATGATGTCATATGTGTTGCTGAGGCACCGATTCTATTAGATTCAGGAATCTTATAATTTAGTACATTGACAATAAATAGCTTACTAAACCTACCTTCCAATATGCTTCCATTCTCATAATGAACCAGATACTGTCCATTAACATCATTAGACAGCAATTGCAACCACAGAAAACGCCCAAAACTTAATCGTTCTCGCATCATATGTATGTGCATGTATCTACGTATATCTTGAGCCCAGTGATGAAAATCGAATGCAAAGCTAGTATGACTTACACTCGATTTCTATCACTGGATCTTTGAGATATTGAGTCCCAAAAGGCCGTACATGGAATTTTTGTGACGACTTCTTTTGGAACTCAATATCTCGAGATCCTAGGATTGAATCATGGATTTTACACTCAATTCCCGCCAATGATTCGATTTTCACGTCCTGTCATGTGATATATTTTTATCACGTAATCACGAGGTGTATGGCAACATCAAAAAGGGGTGTGAAAATTACTGTTCTAATATGCCAAATGTGGTAAATGCGGGAATAAAAATTGTATTGTTTTTATGTTTATTTTTAGATTCAAGAAGGAACGAGCATGGGATTTCAATAATTGAGAACTCTTAAAATATAAAACAATTAAAAAAATGTATAAAAACTGTTATTATTATTGTTAAAAGTAAAGGACAGACACAATCCATGTCAACAATGATAAAACACATGTATAATCATGTGTTTTTTTGGGATATGATGCATTAATCCAAACTTTTATTTGATGATTGATTATAATTTATTTCATGCACATATTTTTACCCATTCTTAAATATAAAAATTTGATTATAAAACTGTGCTTTGAATTTCACCAGACTTTTTCACTCACAGTTAACATGCCCTGTTATCACCTACTTCGTTATCATTCCATTTACTATTATTTTCTTCATCATGCTATTAAAATTTTCCTCTCGTAATTATTCATTATCAATTAAACAATTTTCAGATAATCCCTATAATGATATGATGAAACATCTCTCAGATACTATTTTTTTATCACGTCAAAGAAGCTACTTTGCTTCAAGGTCAACTTCGAGATCAACTCAAGTTTGAGCATAAACAAGAGATTCTTTGTATTCTTAATCAACACAAACAAGATATCCTCGAAATTCAAGACCGACACAAACAAGATATCCAGATCAACTTCAATTTACTATCGGGAGCTGATGAAAATTTTTTGTTGATTCTTCAGTTGATGGATCAATTGATGGTTTAGTTGGTGATTCACTCAGTGGTTTAGTTGATGAATTAGTCGGTGGTAATGCAGTTGGAGTCAGAAACAAGAGTTCATAATCTCCAAAAATTATCTCTTGATATTTGCTCTCTTATCAATTCTAAAACTCCACGTATGTTGAAATTTCCACGAATTTTCAAATAAAGAGTGATATAATCTCGTTTTTCATTTTGCAAGAACTGCAATTTTCTTTCAATTGAGATAATTTCTTGTCTTGAACAAATTGATTAATCATTATGAATTTGCATATTGAAAAAAATCTGTGATATCAACAAGACGAAAGAACATGATATGAAAATGTGTATTTCTTTTTTATATCAGCAAGTATCAGACGAGGTTACTATTGATGAAAGATTTTTTGCCCCTTATGAAGTGCTTGCTCTTGGATATATTTTTAAAAATTTATAATATTCGTTATTTATATTATGATAAAGATGGTAAACCAGCTAAATTTCCATTTGAAATTTAATATCATATTATTTAATATCATATTATACAATAACAATGTAACTTCTCTATATCAAAAACCTATTTCGAATTGAAATTACTGCATAATTTATCAATTGATTTTGAAGTACTTACACGTTCGCATTTTTCTTTGTTATGATTAGAATATTAATTAGTGTATCGAGTTAAAAGTCCGCTGATTTTCAAGCCACATCTCGAACAGGCAGAAAAATAATTTCACATGACGGTATATCTTGTTAATTTTTACCCAGAAGACCATTGTACTCCTTATATGCTTGGCCCTGGTGCAGCACCAAGCAATTCGCATTTTATAAAGTGAACTCAAAGATGGAATCGAATACTCATCATTGTAATTAGTTCACAATACTCATATTGTAGTACATGTGCTTTGGTTCCGCGTTTATTGTTTTTATATCGCAAACGAATTTATCGTTATAGTAATGAATGGTCCAGCAGATATCGAATCTAATAATAAAATTAATAAATTAATCGAAATACAGGAGATCATGAGAAATTTAAACGATATGGAGAATTTGAAGTTGGGTTAGAATCGTAGTATACACTGAGATATCCGGCGCGATATTATAGTCTGGATCTGGTTAAGGATAGCTTATGGAATTGAAAAAGTTTGGAAAATTAACAACTGAAAAGATTTCTTTACACAGTGACACTGACATTAGAATTATAAGTGATCTTGTGAAAGTGCAGCATTATATTTGGCTTTCAATTATAAATATGTTATTATTACTATATTGAAACTTATGTCTAGATGGTCCTAGCTTTGTGGTTTTCACGGATATGTATGAACCGATTTGAGGTAATGACAATTCATACGAGCTAAGACAGGGTGAATCTTAAAGCATCTTGCATAATGCTCGCCCACTGGTCCTCTACAGTATTAGTTAACAAAGCTTTGAGAAAATAAATATAACTATGTTACTTGTAAAAAAGTGTGTATTTGAACCAGATAGACAATTCACAAATTATGTAATTGTCAATTGCAAAGAGATTCAACCTGATCTAATAATAATATTGCTTTTCGCATCAAAGAAGCAGAGCTGAGGAGCAGAGTTTTTTGTTTTCCGAATAGTTATCTCGAATTGTCAGGTTCTAAGCTTTCTTTTTCCAGCTCTTACGTGTCTCGATTGTTTTTCTCTAAACGAATGCGATGAAATAATCATTGATCAGTCTTATCAGTTATGTTATCTATTTTAGTGACAGTAAAACTAGCTTCATTGCATACTGAATATAAAAGCATTTTAATTCGAATATTTTTGGCAAAATTTTCTAGATTATCTCACAAATTCATTCCAGGCCAGTTTTCTTTTAAGAGTATTTAATATTACGAGATTAGGCTTTTTAAAATTAAAACTCAATGATTATTTTGTGGAAAACTTCAATAAGCAATTATATCAGGACAATGTTTCTAAATCAGAAATGAAGCATTCATCATGCATGTAGTCAGCGTTCTATGGAATATTGAACTTTAGATAACAACATTTTTTTGTGGTTCCGAATGGTAAATGACCAAGGCCAGATCATTTGCCCATTTTGCACTGTTTAATTCGAAGTCACGCAAATCCAATCAGATCATAAGACCAATTAAATTAACATACCAACTACATGTTACAGTACATAAACATTGGTAATGTTTTTTAACAAAGCAAACTTATCTGAAAACTCAATAAAAAATAAAAAGAAAATGACGAATTGAATTCACATTCAAACAAAGTTTGCTAAATTTTACGAAAGCGCAATTTTTGCAATATTTCAGTAATTGGTGCTGGAAGAGACCTATGCGCACATTCGTCTATTTTAATGGCGCAATCCCAATATTTTGCTGACGCACTTTCTGATACATGGGTGAAAAGAGAACCAAATAAAATGATTATTTTTAAGAAACCAAATATTCCGCCTCGTGCTTATTGAGGTAAACAAATTATGGCTTGTATAAAACACATAATAAAATTTAACTCACGATGGGTTAGATATACAACACCCTGACAAAAGTATCCGACAACTGGAAAAATCAACGAACTTTAAACTTCGATTGTAGCACGCTCATGCATCCAATTTTATTATTTGAATGCATCTAATTTTCTAGTTTTAGAAAATAAAAATTTTCGGAGTTATCGTTATCTGTAATAAACGCTGATTAATTATTTGCGAAATTTAATCAAAAAACAGAGTGCTTATACCTATCTTCGCAATCAGCTATCCAAATTATTTGATCTTTTTTTATTAGATTTATCTTTGATTTCTGCTTTCAGAAAGTATATTTTTTCATGCTTTTCAAATTAATCATTTTTGAGTAATTTCTAAAATATCAGAACTTTGAATGTGGAAAAATTGTTAATTTATGAAAAGTCAAAAAACAATAAGTGAAATCAGTAAATATTAAGACACCGAAATACATAGTTGATATTGTAATAAAAATACAAAAATCAAGATCTGAACTATTAAATAAATGGCCATGTAAAATATATACATGAACTAATTTAATTTATCGCTCATTAATGAGAAATTATCTAGAAAACATAAATACACCATTATATAGATCAGATTCTAATCATATAAATTTTATTTAAAGCTAATGTGTATCGGTTGAATTTAGTAAAAGTCATGAGAATTACAGAATTTCTAATGGATCAATTTTTATAAATATATATCGATATCGATATTCTGAATATAAAATTGGAATCATCTATTGTCGATCATTTTATAGATCTACGTAATTCTGTTTTATTCAACACAATAAAAAATTAACCGAATAAAAATGACACCCGACTTTTTATTGACTTCACATTTAAACAGACTTGATAAACTCTATAATAATGTTGACTATTGCGACATTTCGATTATTATTGGTGAAAACCCGAATACTCAACGTACCTTTTCAGCTCATTCAACAATATTGGTGGCGCAGTCGCAATACTTTGCCGTAGCACTTTCCAATGCATGGGTCAAACGAGAACCGAATAAAATGATTACCTTTAAGAAACCGAATATCGAACCTCGAGTTTTTGAAATATTACTAAGGTAATCTCATCTTAAAAATGAAGCACTATTGTTTATAATAATTTATTAATCTGATTGTAATTTTTAATAGATATATTTACAGTGGAAAAATTGATTTACAAAATCATGGAGTTTCGACGCTTTTGGACGTATTAGTCGCGGCTGATGAGTTAATCCTTGAAGACCTAATTGAATACATCCAAATTTATCTTCTCGAACACCATTCTGAATCTTTGACAGAAATCTTTACCTTAATCAATCAAATTGCATTCGAGCATAACTCTTTTACTAAACTTCATAAATTTTGCACAGATATCACATGTCAAAATCCAACCGCTATCTTTCAATCAACTGATTTTACTATGCTACATGAATCAGCTCTAATTTGCTTACTCAAACGTGACGATCTAAACTTGCGTGAAATCGATCTTTGGGAAAAGGTGCTTGAATGGGGAATCTCTCGAGCTGGAGATACAGGCGAAATTGATCTAACAATTCCATTAGAAAAATGGACACATAACGAATTTAACCAACTCAAATCTACGCTTAAAAATTGTTTACCATTGATTCGATTCTTCCACATCAACTCGGTTGATTTTTATAACAAGGTTTTGCCATTTGCTGAAATTTTACCAGGTACACTATATAAAGATTTATTACACCATTATCTGGTGCCGGAAAGTGAAGAATACAAAGCCACTTTGCACCCAGTTCGAACTGTCATGTACTCTGCAATTCTTTCGCAGAATCAGGCCTTTAAGGTAATCGACTGGATTAAAAAGCAATATGAGAATCAGAAAAATAAATCAATTGAATTGAAGCTGCTATTACGAGGCAGTCGTGATGGATTTAAGAATACCGACTTTCATCGCCTGTGTGATAATAAAGGTCCAACGGTTGTTGCCATTCGCGTAAAAGACGGTGGTAAAGAGATTCTTGGTGGTTATAATCCGCTTCAATGGAATTCACTTATTCAAGATTGCTCAAGTTTAAATAGCTTTTTATATAAATTTAATTCTGATGATGTTCAAGCTATCAGTGGAGTTTTAAGCAAATATAATAATCAAGGATGGGTTGTGAATGTGGGATGGTATTCACATCTTGGTCCGATTTTTGGTAATGGTGATTTAACTATTTGTGGACCCGATCTTCTTAATGCTTCTCATTTCTGTCAGAAACAGCGCTACGAAACTGGGCTGTTGAGCTCTGGCGGAGAAAAAAAAAAATTTCATATTTTGGATTATGAAGTATTTCAGGTGGTGCCGAAATAAATTTTATTTTATATATTCATATATTATAGATCCATATCAAATAAACACAATACCCATCCAATAAATTAGTACATTTATAAGACAATACGACGTTAATATGTCTTCAACTGTGTGTTCTTGGTAATTTGTCCATGACAGCTAAATGTCAACACTTGGCTACAGCATATTGAAACATAGAACTCCAAGATTATTTAATTCCAACGGACCAATCAGTAGAGAGTGATTTACGTAAGTGATGTTCACTTTAGTTCTAATGGTCTCCTATGACAATCTTTACGAAGATTGATTGCCAAAGTAAAGTGAAGGGTAGAGGGAATTAATAAAGGACCCAGGAACTAAGTTAATTCACTTGAAATATAATAGGACTTATTGTGACTGCCTAATCGAAGTATAGCATGACTTATTGAAACTGCCTGACAAAGTGACTAGTATATCAAAACTGACGAAAATTATCAATAATAATGACGATTTATTTAATGGAGGAGCATCTACTACTTGTACACAATATTTGAATATAATCAAAAAATAATAGTGTATTTATAAGTACCGTAAAATCCGCGAAATAATGAACATGGGCATTATTTCGAAAATAGCACCCTTTAAAAATAGCATAGTTGCTTTCAAAATAGCACCCCGAAATAACGGGGAATCCACAATCGTCATTAACATTGATGATGAAGAGATAGTTTTTTTTCTCGAGGTCACGATCGTTTTCATTACTTTTTATGTTGCTTTTTAAAAAAATTCCATCCGATTATCGGTTACCTCTTAATCTTTTACATTTTTAGTTGCTAGTTGAGCTTCTTTGTTTAGTTGGTTGTAGTACATTCGGCTGAATACGCTGAAAATTGTGATGATCAACAATTTATTAACGATGGTTTTTTGGTGAGGAAAACAGAATAAAAGCAAAAGAACAAAGTTTTGATCATTTAAGTGCTCGTTTTAACATATAATAAAATTCAAAAAAAAATTGACGACTACAAAGTAAAGTCCCTTAAAATATCTATCAAAACTAACAATGAGACTTCATTGTTAATATAACAATTACATATATTTCAAAGTTACACAAAAACAGACGAGCATTAAAAACAAAATCATAACGATAACAAAAGAGTATCGATCGATATATGTCAACGTAATGTTCAGCAATTTTTCTCTATTTTTTAACATATTTTATTACACCGTTTTGTTAACATTGATTATTGCGGATAAACGAGAAAATTTCAACAAAAAGAAATCAATAGTAATGATAATGAGGAGAATAATTAAACACTTTTCAAGCGAGGTTTGCATAATAATTATTGTAATGATCACTAAGTACATCTTCTATGAGTTTTCCAATCACCGAGACACCTATAATCGCGCATAAATAAGTTAATTTTAAGAAAAAAAAATACGAAAATAGCAAAACAAAAGAAACACATACTTCCAACAAAATTCATATCCACATCCGCGAGCACGACAAGTCATATGATCACACCCTCCATTCTTTTCAATATTAACGTTACATCGTGGACACTTTTTCGACATAGACGCAATAAAAGCTTTAGTTTCTTCTTCTAATTTCTTCATTTGCTCCTCTCTACGTTTTTTCAGAGTTCGTTCGTGTTCGTTTCTTGCAGCAGACAAAGAAGATGATGATGATTCAGATGTTTCATATTCTGATCCGTCACCTCCCTCTGCAATGCTATATGCTATTTCCCTGATCATTGGATCGAAAAAACTTTCAAATATCATTTTTTCTTCATCTGTTTGTGGTGCGTCATGTCCTTGCTCAATAAGCATTCTATTGACGAAGTCGTGTACTTGTCTGTGTGCTTGTTCGAACGCTTGAGCTAAGTTTTCGCATTGAGGACAGTTTGAAGAGTGGTTTGGGATGGCTAGAGAGTGAATCACGCATGATTTCTGAAAGCAGGATTGACACGTCATTATTGGTGCCGCCTCTAAATAGTATGGAATATACTTAGATTTAATTTTATCATTTTAATAACAGTATTTTGATTATTACTTACGTCCTTCGTAATGAATTTGTCCTGATCCACATCCTGGATTGGAACACCATTGAAAATCTGGCATTTGAGAAAGAACCGAAAGTAACGAAAGCTTCTGATATCTAAGAATTTCAAATTAATTATGTATCCCATAATCCCAATAAATCAAAACTATACAATATAAAAATACTACCTCGCCAACACTTGATTATTTGCAAATTTTTGCACATTCGTTTCAGTCATTGTCTTCCGACACCCTTCAGCTGGGCATCTAATCTCAAAATTACCATTATCCTGCACTTCATGTTCAATATGCCGCCCGACACAAGTACGGCATATATTGTTAGTATGCTTGCAATCGGGTGTTATTTGAAGAAATTGTGATTGCGCAAGTGTGTCGATACAGACTATACATTCTTTTTGTGATGATGGTGGTGGTGGTGATGATGATGATGATGACGATGACATATACGACAACCAAGACTCCATTTTGTTGTAAATAGTTTTTAAAGTGAAAAAAATCTTCCTATATACATGTATTTTTTACTGCGGTTCGCATAAATTTAAAAAACCAAATACACGTACATGTAAGTAATAAATAAATTTCGTACAAAACGATAAGCAAGAGAAAAAATGAACTACGATAAAAAGAACCAAATTCAGAAAGGTTGTTTCGGCCGTACTTTGAATTTATAATCATCGCTCTCAGAAGAGTTATATGTCATGTATATCATGGTTTATTATTAATTTCAATAATTGGGAATTTGTAGCTGTATTTATTCTGCCTATTCGTCACACCATTTCGTGGTACAGAATACAAAAGTGTTGAACGAATAAGATCTTTTTTGTAACCTTGTCGGCATTCATATGTCACGCAGTAAACTTATTGTCCGAAAGGGATGAGCGAAATGCGAAAATCTTTTTTACACTAACGCTAACGCTATCTTACCTGACCTGTAGTGTATCGTTGCACTTGTGTAAAAGGAAATATCGTATGATAAAAGTGGATTATTCATGCGGAAACACAACCGAAAAATATGGACCATCAAACTGCAATTTCATGTACATGTACATGTATTGCTCGACACGATCATGATGCACTTGATCCCGGAATTTTAAAAACAATAAAAAAATGTTTTTTCAATGCAATAGATTGCGGTCTAAAGAAGAAACAAATCCGTGAAACTCTGGAACGACACTTAAACTCTAGAGATATAGCCACTCAATTATGTTGTACTTTGGAACTGAACGCATACTCGCTTTCATCATCTACTTCATCATCCGCATCTAATCTAGAAGATCTCGTTCTATTAGGATTTATATACGAGAAGGGATTCTCAAATCACTGGTTCAAAAAGAACGAAGAATTTGCCTATCAAAAATATCGAGAATCTGCAGACGCAGGCAATTCATACGGCCAATACTTTGTAGGCGTATGTTTCAAGAAAGGAATTGGGATAAAAATAGATTGGAGAATGGCATACGAATTTTTCGAAGTGTCTGCTCGACAACGGAATCCGGCTGCTTGTTATAAATTGGGTTCGGGATATGATCGTGTGCAAGTGCCAGAGCAGAAAAAGAATTGTCGATTAAAGGCGTTTTTATTGTATATTGAAGCGGCAAACGCAGGTCATGTTATGGCGAAAATTCTTACAGGGCTTTGTTATGAAATGAATTGGGGGACTGAGCGAGATATTCATCAGGCGATTAGATGGCTGTTGAAGGCAAATAACGATCAACCGTCGATAGTTAATAATGCTTTACTGCGTATATTTCGGCCTCATGATCCATTGATATACTAAAATAATTCTGTATGCTGTAGCGAGGCCTCTAATTAGTAATTATTACGATAATTATTGATACAGTATTTATTATTTCCTAACGCTAGTAAAAAAATTTATTTTAAAGCAAATAATCTCATATGTTTTCTTTTAAACTTACGAAATTTCATTCCATATACATAGTTTCACAAAAATTTAGAACAAAAATACAAAAAATGGCTATTATCGTTATTGTTATATCACTATTACGCTAGTCATAAGTGATGGCCGCTTTCACGTGACATCAATCCTGGGACCTGCACACATAATCAACTTCCTGCATAGAATAAAGAACAAATGCTTTCATATTCTATGGAATTCATCTCTAGGTTTCTACGTATAAATAAATCACAGATGTTCCCTGCCGTATTAACAAGGTCAAGAAACATTTTCAAAAATTTGAACTAAATAATAATAGTTTAGAGGTATCATATCTATAAATAATGTATTATACTATACTTGGTACAGAGAAACCACATCCTTTATAAATACACAAACTCTTTTTAAATGCGCGACATGGCTTGGTCCCCACTTTTCGGAACTTTATATATTGCTCTCCGTAATTTCGCACCTTCTTAAAATGCTCATTCTACCTTTTTTATTATGGTCCAAAGTGGCAGACATTTATTCCTCCATAAGTTGTAATCTATAGTAATTTAGAGTGCGAACTTTAAATTTATACCCAGTGAAATATTTTATTATCAGATGACTTTATTATAAAATAGTTATACTGAAATTTGATATTGACTACGACACATTTTATTATAAAAAAATTTGATCTTTATAGCGGCAGTCTCTATATAGTAAACCACTCAAATCGCAATTCAATATGTAACGGAAAATTCAAAAAAAAAAATAAATGGTTTGTATCTCGAAATTTTGTCTATGAAACTTCTTTCTATGTTCTAATAAAAAGTTCCTTGCGAAATTTTACATATACAGCTCGCACCCGTTATAAACTCTACTCTGATTATAATCCTAACCAGTGTATAAAATTCAATTTCTCACTTTTCTCAGAGAACATCAATACATTTTGATTATACAAATTTTCTGTCAAAAAAAACTGGAATTTTTAATTTTCTCCATAAATATTTAAATAACATAAAAATTTAAATATATATACTTGAGAGTATGATAAACAACTTTATTTAAGACTACTTGAACAC